AAACTATTTGCTACAGAAACCACGGCCACACCTAGTGTAGTGATGCTGTGAATATTCTCCAGTAGAGTTTAATGGCATCCAGGAGGAGGAAGAGTTTTTAATTATTTCAAAGCTACTCATCAAAGTGACTAACATAACCAAGCTGGTGCAAATAATTTTTACAGCTTGGATTGATATTGAATATGTAAGCTATCTTCCCAATCATATGATATTGATTAATTTGAATCAATTAGACTCAAACTGACTGTGGAGCACTGTGAAACTACACAAAGCACTTTTCAATTCAGTAGAAATTGTACAATTGTTTGTGCTTAAGTTGCATTTTTACCTTTCTTAAAATAAAAAAAAATAAAAAAATAAAAAAAAGAATGCCAATTTTGACTTAAGAAATTAGAAAAAAAAATGAGATGTTGGTATGATGGTTGTAACAATAACATGAAAGTTAATTTTTTTTTCTTTTATTGTAGTTAAATACACTGCGCAAAAAACAAAAACAAAAAAACTTTTTGGTCCATACAATTAAAAAAAGAAAAAAAAAGAAATTGACAGGAAATTTCTATGCTTCTAACGTGTCACCTAAGTGAATAAAAAGACAAAACCAATTCGTAGAATATCTTTCAATTACATATGCAGTTATACAGGATATACAGTGTTTATAATTATGGATGGAACAAGATAGTTCTTTTGTTGCTTTTCAAATCACTAATTACAAGATGTATTGAAAACAGATAAATACAAGAAGTAGACAGGGGGAGGGGGGCGCTACTCAAAGAGGCAACAATGGAGGACAATCATGTAGCAGACATTGCAGTATCAGCCACCCACTATCACAGATCACCTGATCCTTGATCTTCCCAATGACAGGGCTGGGGGGAATTATTTTGCAAAAAAGACCATTCTTTTTGTTGCTTCTTATAAATCTGTTAACAAGACAGCCACGTATATATATATATATATATATATATATATATATATATATATGTGTGTGTGTATATATATATATACACACACACACACACACACGTGCACAATTTGTTACAATTAAAAAGACAGAATATGACACCCTGGAAGCTAGAATCAAGCCAATTTTTTTTTTTTTGTTTCTGGCTTTTAGACATTTTGAACTTACACTTGTTAAATATTGACAAATAACATCGACTCTCACAATTCAGTGAACAAATATTTTATTTGCTCCTGAAAATAAAATATATGGATATTTAAAAAGACCCTCCCCATTTTTTTTTTTTTTTTTTTTTTTTACAAATCTAAATGTCGACATACTGCTATTTCTATGGTAATCACGAGAAATGCTACAGTTGTTACTGCTATTATAATTACTAACATGACCTGGGGTGGGTAGAGGGGTTAAGCTGTGGCTCATTCAGTAGAAATGCAGTCTTAAGATGGCACAGACTTAGGCTTAGTCGTAGGCACTTAGATCTAGGGAAAGGTCAGCCTTCAACATACAGCTATCTTATACAATGTGTTATTCAAATAACATCTGGGATACGCAAGAGACAAACAACATTCAAACCAGGTGTTGTTCTTTAATCAAGTAGCTGGGAGTTGAGATTTTCATTACGACTTCATATTCTATATATTAAGATGGGGGGGACTTGTGAAATTCACTATATAGCTAAATAAATGTGAGGTAAAAGTATAAGATTTAACATTCTCAGTGCCTGGTTGGTGAGGCTTGTTACACCAGAACCCCCCACCCCATATTTAACTTATTTACTATGTTGCTTTTTAGAATACAATACTATCTTGATGTAAATAGTTATATACTTGTAAAATATACAATAGCCACTATTAATATGCCTAATGCAGCTGTGACAATTTTTGAGAATCTTAGCAATGCGCTATGCAGAAAATTACAGCTTCTGTCCCTGGCGATGGGTTGGTAAGATTCCTTCCCACACAAGGAAGCATCCCCTCCCATCTTGCAGTAACCAAATCACATAAGCAATTAAGTATTATTACTACAATAACTACCACCAACACTACTGTAGATCAGTAGAATGAGGAGATGCTGAAAAGTTCTTGACCCAACCCAAGAAGCCTCTCATATATATATATATATATATATATATATATATATATATATACACACACACACACACACACACACACACACACACATCTCCCCTCCTACCATTTACCAGTAGAACAAGTATAAGGCTCATGCACAATGTAATTGTCAGGTGCTGATTGAAATCTTACTGCTGCATAATTTAAATATTGATATTTATCCTGTATTGTAATTATAGCAGAGCAATCCATTTATTTATGGTGGGGTGTAATAAAATCTACACACAAACAAAGGTGTACATATAAAATTTTTATTTTTCATATTTGCCTACATATCAACATGGTTGTTATTGTAGTCATTCAAAAAAATGTAACTACATGCACACAGGGAATTATACATTCATACACATCTAGTCATAAAAATGTGTGATTATATATAACACATTACAACAATTATTGGTTTTATGACTTTAGATTAAAAATGAGCTGTATGCACTTTTATCAAATGACTTCTAGTGTTTAACAGCTATTTTAAAAAATTGCATCATGACACCTTTTCTAAAATTTTATTAAGCTCACAAATTTGTCTCTACCAACCCTGATGATGACAAAGTCGAAAGGTTAGTCCATATTTCTTTTACTTCCAAAATTAGCTTTGGATAATTCTTGACAATATTTTCTCCTTATTTGAGAAGAATTGTTAATTTGGAAAAGATGATCATTGACAAAATTTCTGCAGTTTTTAATGTCACTTGACTTAAAAAAAAAAAAAAAAAATTGCTGCCTAAATACACAAATATACATATATATTAAAATAAGAAATGAAATTTAGTTGGGGGGGGGCATTTTGGGAAGTGGGTTGGGATGAGAACTTTTCAGCAACCTCTTGTACAAAATTGAACTGTATTCAAGATTCTAGGCTGCATTAATAAGCATGTGATAATAATAATGTTACCCAGCAGAGATGGAGAGACGAGGTTGAATAAATCAGATTATATTAATATTCATCAATTATACACTTGTATTGAAACAGTAAAATAAACAAAAAGAAAAAAGTTTTTCTTTCCAGGTAATACACAATTGTAGGTGCAGCCAAATGATAAGAAGAGTGGGCACAAAACTCATAAGGTCTTATGAATTGACACAAAAAAAAAAAAAAAAAAAAATATATATATATATATATATATATATATATATATATATATATAAAACATTATATTTGGTAGACCAAGATCAAGTGACCTGAAGCAGGTATAGATTCTTGAGGTACTTTACTGCCTCACAATCTGTTAGCAAAGGCCAACATATAGAAGGAAGGAAGAACACTAAGTATATTTGTACCTGCTTATGGATCACGGACAGGCACAAAGTATTGTTACTGTTTAAGTTGAAAGAATGAAAACTGATTAAGAAATTATAAAATCTTTGTTAGAGACAGAAGTGCCCAATAATCATTAAAAGATAAAATGACAGAGTGTATAGGGAATATAATTCAAGAACTGTGATAGTGCCACTTTCACAGCATCAGACTGCCACAACTATTGCTAGCAACATAGCAGTTGCTGTAAGCTGAGCTAGATGAAGAAGCAGAGAAAGAAAATGCTGTATAGGCAGAGCAAGCAACAGCCAGCATGAGAGAGCAATTGCTGATGACAATGTCGGTTCATTACTACTTTATAATCTCTGCATTTACTGCGGTCTTGGCTGCTCGCTAAGGTATCCTGACCTGTGTTTATTATTGCCTGAACAGAGAGCCACAACATATATAGGTATTGATCTATACTCTGGCAATCAACATTTGTCTCGCTGACTGACAAGCTAAGGTTAGCCAAACTTGAGGCTACACATTGCGGCACTCTTTCAACCCTGCACATCAAGAGAAAGAAAGCATAAAAATATCAGCACCAGATGAAAGTGATGTCAATGATTTCAGTCAGTCTTTTTTTTTTTTTTTAAAAAGAGCGAAAAAAGAAAAAAAAACTATCTATAACAAATATACCGATTAAGAAAAAAAAAAAAAAAAAACAAGCTAATTAGAAAAAAATGATAGTAATTATGTGATTTTTAATTAATTTAAAAAATAAAATAAAAATAAGATAAAAAAGTCACTGGAGTATTACAGACTTTTGATAATATTGTCATTTTCAGATTTCAGACCCAAAGCCTTCTCACACCTATTGGAGGTACGGCTGCCTGATTGACCATGTATTCAGGAGTGTAGCTGTACTTGCCCAATTGCGGAGACTATTTAACAGTTTTGAATTCAGATTTGTCCTTATCCTTGATTGGTTGCCGCCAAAGGCTATAGGACTCCAGTCTGTCCTGTTATTTACCCATAATTTAGAGGGAGAGAGAAATAGATTCTTAACTTTCCCAAGGGAAAGGTATGAATCATTTAAGTAAATATAATGAGCTCTACTGGAATTCAAATTTGGCTCTGATTCCTCAATCAGAACTGCTATTCATTACTTCACCATGCCTCCATCTTTTTGGAACTATCAAGTTAATTCTTTCCAATGCAGGGAACAAAGACACAAGAGTTGCAGTGATACTGTTACCATTTCCCTTACACTTAAACAAAATGTAATTTTAAGAAACCAGCAGTTTTAGAGGCTAGCCATATAAAAAGAACTTAAATAATTGTCAATGACATTTTTAGTAACTAACAAGTTTGTCATAGCAGATTGACCAATTTGATTTTTTTTTTTTTTTTTTTACAGTTTATTAACCTATTGCAGGTTATTTAAAGCCAGAAAATAGTTTTAGATTCTAAGAATTTTTTTGAGATAATAGTTTAGTGATACAAGTCCTACTAATTAACTAATAAGCCGGTAGGGGAAGAGGTAAAAATCATACTTGTCCCAAGAGTATTTGCATGTAAGTAAATATGACAAACCTGACTGGAATTGGAACTCAACACTCCAATTTCAAATTCTGCCCTTTTCCTTTACACCACCTGTACATCCAAGCTTACAGCACCTGGTATTCCCAAGCAGTCACCAATCTAGGTACTGATCAGGCTTTACATTGCTTAACTTTGGTGATTGGATTAGAACTGGTGTTTCAACGTGATATGGCTGTAAAACTAGTCATGGCAAAAACTAGCTACATTTGTATACATGATGTCAGTATAAATAGCATCATATGCAAAATAAATTAAAAAAACTGATGAAGAAATTCAAAAGGAAACGCTGACGAAAATAAAGAGAAGCAAGAAGATTCCATTATGGTAGTTAAGTGATTCGATTTCTTCAGCAAGATGGACAACAATTAGGGGAGAAAAGATGTCAGTCAAGAACAAAAGTGCACATTGAGTGGGGGAACCTGTCAAGGTAAGGTCTAAGCGAAAAAGTCACAAAGTAGCCTTTATTTACTACACCTATTCAAATGACTAATTTCTTTCTTTTTTGCTAAAGTAAAGCAAGTCTAATGTATAAACTCCCCTCTTAACCAAATAGAAACTTGATGGAAGCAGGAGGAATGCAGATGGTAAAAAAAAAAAACAAAAAAAAAAAACAAAAAAAAAAAACTGGTAACTAGCAGAACAAGTTCTTGTAATTACTAACAAAATAAGAGTTTTCAGTTATTTGTACAAAGAATGACAGTTGTAGCCATCAACATAAAACAATAAATGCAAATTGTGGGTCATTTAAAGCTGAAGCAGAATTTGAGAAAGTTTATTGTAAGAATAATTATTTTTTCTTGACTCAATTACCAGTTTCTTTGATATTGAAAAATTTTTTTTTCCAAATACAAACCCTACTATTTAACCCATAGTTGTGTGTGTGTGTGTGTGTGTGTGTGTGTGTGTGTGTGTGTGTGTGTGTGTGTGGATTCATACCTTTCCCAAGGGTGATTTGGCACATGTGAATATAAACTCTACCAGTACAGAATGGAATAAAGTCTTATTATATAAGGGGAGTGTTGAAAAATTCTCGGCCCAGTCCATCTCCTAAAACTCGTAGACTGATGTTTAGTTATTGAAGATTTGGTGCAGTGGGGGTTGAATAGAGAACTTTTCAGTCCCCATTCCTCATAGTTATGGTCGACTTCTGCTGAGGGCAATAAAATAAAAAGGAGATGTGTTTTGCTTTCATCCATGTTATCTCAAAGTTTAGGGGCTGTTGGGGTGGGGGTGGAGAGAAACAGGAGCAGCAGGCATACAAATTGCAGGAGTTCATGAAGAATTAGAACAAAATACTGTACAATGGATATGGAATATTCTGTGAGTGGAAAACTAGGGCTGAAAGTTTGAGGCTTGCAACAAATGAAATTAAAAAGAAAAAAAAGGTAAAAAAAAAAATCAGACATTTATAATCTAACATGTTTGGTTAACAATTGTTGGTGATTATTAATTGGGGAGCCTTAATAAGGAAAAAAGGTGCAGAGAATTTAACACTCACAAGGAACATTAAAGGCAAGAAGAGTATCAGAAGGCGGCTTCAAGTAACCTACTGAACATGCTTGAACAAAATGAAGGAAGAAGTTCTACAAAGACAAGGGGGGGGTCACAAAAGTAAGAACAATAAGCTATAGAGAACCCTGACCTCACCCCACGAGTAGTCTGCCAGCTGAAAGTGTCACCAGTTAGCATCATTTTAATATATTTCCTGATAGAAGCAAGTAGTAATGGGTCACCAAAAAGAAAGACACATGTCAGTTCATTTACCAAAGAAGATGCCATGAACTGCATTAACCCCTTTCCTGGTGTAGACATGAACATACATTTTTACTGAAAGTGTCTTTTTCAGACATGGACGAATAAACATGTTCAAAACTTTCAAAAACCAGCTACAGACGTGTTCATATGTTGATCTTGAAACAAATCCAATTGTCAGCTCATATGACCGATAGAAGTGTTAACCACTGCTTGGGCACTTCTAGGTGTCTCAGTTTCTTAGTTAACTATACTAAAAACAAATTTAAAAAAATTACCTGAAAATGAAATGTTTTTCCCAAAATAATTGATGGGGAAGGGGTTAAGAAACAAAATAGGATAAAAGCTATTTATTTTTCTTGGTTAGCAATGCCATTGTTCATGAGATTATCCCAGAATTTCGTTGCACTTTTGCTGTCAGAAATTAACAGCAAATTGCTACAAAACTTTAGAATTAAAAATAGAATAACTTTAGCAACTAATTACCTCTAATCATTAAATGCCTTGAAATAAAACCATGTTTATTTCTGTATATTAATCAAACTACTTAAAATATTATAAAAAGCATTGAGGTAATTAGTATGTCATAAACAGTAAATTAGCAATTAAAATGTTTATCAACCACAAATATTTTGTTTGCTTGAGGAAGATCTAAAAACAGTTTCAACTATGAAAATTAAAGACAAGACATTTAGATTTTAATCTTGTAACATTTATACAGAAATTAACAAGAATAGAGTATAACAATGTTTTAGGCAAGAAGATTCAGATCTTATATTCAGAATGGCATTTAGGAAATGCCATATTGAGTTAAAAAAGTAAAAAAGAAAAAAGAAAAGCTTATGCAACATGGGGGAAAAAAAGAGCAAAGAAATAAAAGGTACCAAGATGAAAGCTCCCAGATTCAGAGTCTTCTCACATATGGAAAAAAAAGCCCCTCCCTGATTGACCAGATCTTCAAGGGTGTAGCTGTATTCATCACACGTGGGCAATTGAAGGTTGGTGAGGCTTTTAACCCATAGCCGGAGGTTTTTGAATAGAGACATGTCCTCCTTCTAGACTGGTTGGCAGCCAAGGCTATAGGACACAGTTTGCACCTGCTATTTAACCCATGGCTGATGGGTGAGAAAAGGTGAATTCATAATTTTCCCCAAAGGTATTTGGGCATAAGGGAATGTAATGGACACAATTGGAATTCTAGCTCAACATGACTTACCCTCTTCCCTACTCCACTAAAAAACAAAAAAACAAAACAAGCAAACACAGTACAGATGTGTTTATATTGCTTGAGAGAGAGAGAGAGATAGAGAGATAGAGAAAACAAAAGTTAAAAAAAAAAAAAAAAGACTGATGTTATACTGTCAAGCATTCACTACAGAGCTGCAGTGAGATTTAATTGACCAACAAAAATCTTGTTCTCATCTCAAGTTTTGCTGTTATTTTAAAAGGGACAAGAAAGTGCATATTTATTGCAATAAAAAAAGTGGATGAGCAAAAAACTAACCCTTTTTCTCTATATAGAGATGAGATATTCAAGTGATAGAACAATAACAAATTCTGGCTTCCATTGGTGGTGAGGGATGAATCAGGAGTAAAGTTTTGATCAGAAAGTAGATCTTTCTCATCTGCTGATCTTATACATTAAATATCTATTTCAAATGTATTAAATCATTGAGCAAAGTTTGTGCCCAATTACAAAATTAGAAACAAAAGTTTAGATACGAAAAAACAAAAAAAAAAAATTTATTAGTCAAGTACATAGTTGTTAAAAACAATGGAGAGTGTCTCCTATTGTTCTACAGGGTGTGATGGATAAATTGTCTAAATAATGCAAAAATGAAAACAACATTTTAATAGATATATTTACCAAGACTACACAAAAATATCTTGAAATACTAAAGGGTAAATATATTCGATAAAATCACCATTGACCTCAACCACAACCTCCAGACGACTTCAGAATCTCTTGCAACTCTTCTAGATGGTTTCCTTGTTTAAGTTGGTGAATACTGTCATAATCTTTGCCTTCAGTTCATGTTTGGCGTTACAAGGAGTTTTGTTGGTCTCTTGCTCAACTGTTCCTCATACATAATAATCAAGAGGTTCCAACCTGGGGAGTTAGGTGGCCTGATGTAAGGAGTGGTGCGGTTGCAGAAATTGTCTGAGTCATGACTGGGTTCTCCTGCTTGTGTGACATGGTGCAGAGTCCTGTTGCTTAACATTGGGCCTTCCAGCAGCTACCCTCTTGACCCAGGGCTGCACTAGCTCCTCAAGGCATGATGTGAACCTCATGTTGAGTCCAAGGCCCTCACCAACAAATTCAGGAGTTCTAATAACAATCAGTGTTATCTGCAACACTGTCATCCCCATTAGACTCATCTAACTCTTCCCAAATCCTTGCACTGCCTGTAGATTGACATTCAAAGGCTGAAATGTTTGTATTGGAGCATCTGGCAGGCAGTACAGCATGCCATTTCCAAATTTCTGGCAGAGAGAATTGCTTCAGGGTGCTGTTTTTCTCACAGTGCCCAACTTATCCTACTATACTAAGCTGCTAACAAAAAAAAAAAAAAAAAAAAAGAAAAAAAAGAGAGTGTGCTTGACATTAAAAGTAGTAACAATTTGCCCATCATACCCTTTACGAGCTTGTTGATGTCATTTTCGTAGAAACCTTGTGTTTTTATCCATACTAGAATTGAAGCTTGACTATCCAGTTACAGAACTTAATTATAGTTAACTTAAAAATCTTCAATAGGCCATATTACATGGAAACATCAGTTCCCATACAACAGTTAAGCAATGTTTAGCCTGATTAGTACCTAGATAGGTGACCACTTGGGAATAACAGGTGCTGCAAGTTTGAATGTGCAGGTGGCGTAGTGGATAACAGCTTGCAATTGTTAATGGGAGAGCAGAGTTCCAATTCATTATACTGATTTATGTGCAAGTACCATTGGGAAAAGTATGAAACCATCTCTTCTCCCCCAGCTATGGGTTAATTAGTAAGATTTGTATTACTAAATCATTACCCTCCCACAAAAAAAACAAAACAAAAAAAAACTTACAATCTAAAAATAGATTCTGGCTTTAAATAAGCTGCAACGAGTTGTTAAACTACAGAAAAATCAAGCAATAAAAAAAATTTTCAACTCCAATAACTTTCAAATTACAGACTTTGAAAAATTTAAGGCAGTTAATGTTTTAAGATGAAATATTGTGTACACTGAAGACTCAAAGTGATGATTACAAGAATATGAAGTTGTTTCTCGTAGATTAAAAGGACATAATTCTTGTAACTGTAGCAACTAAACATTTCTCCAGAAAGTTCATATTTGAAAAGTCAATCTCTAAATAATTATTTCCAGGTTTATAGAATGCCCGAATAAATATGGTGAAATTTTATAAATGCTGTCAATCCATTTTATTACATGCTTGGTGCTGCTTTGATTAAAAAACCCAAGAATTCAGTTCATTTTCTCCAAGTGATTTCTACAGATGGCATTTTGTATCAAGGCAACATTAACATAAAATCATATTTCAAAACACACATCATGCAAGAATCATTTTAGTGCTATTTAAAAATTGGTTTTATTTGGAACACAACAGATCAAGTTTCACGCTACTTAAATTAGAACCAGACACCGAGTACCTTTAAACCTAAGCTGAGCCTTTAACTGCTGCCAGTATTGAAATGGGTGGAGAGATGAGCATTACAAAAGCAAGCAGAGAAATTATGACTGTTCCTGGGCAAGGCTTGGTTATCACTCTTTCTACTTTTGAAAGAAAGAGAGATGTAAAAGCAAACATAAAAATAAATCTTTTTATAATATTGTTCATAAAGGACAAGCAGAGTACTGTGAAGAAATAACAATTACGAGTCTTTTTCAGCACAAAGAAAACCTCATATATATATATATATATATATATATATATAAAAAACTTGCATTATATATTCAAGTTTCTGACATTACTTTTCATAAGGTATAAGAGCCAAGTTTTCTTTTTCAATCATTTTGCTAAATATCTTTTTTTCCATATTTAGGAATTTAACTTTTTTTTTTAAACCTCTATATTCATCCTACTGTTTCTGAGGTTTGTGTAAACATACTGCAATATGTTAACTAATTTCTGTTAGAACATTTTTTTGTTCTATTTCAGATTTGTCCTTAATTATAAAGAATATTCTTCCCTGACTGTAGTATTTTTCTTTTAATTTATTCCCTGTATACATTTTATATTAAAATAAAAGCTATACAAATAACCTAATATTGAACGTGTTCAAAGCTCACTTGAATAAAACTTGCCACTGAAAGTGTCAATAGAAGAGAAGCCAAAACAAATGGGCCATTCATCGACAGCACTGGCAGGGACACAAACTCATTCACTAGTGAAGTTGAAAGCAGAATTGAAACTCAGAGAAAAAAAAAAAAAAAAATTTTCAAAAATCCTATTAAAAGACAGAAAGGATAAAACCTGTTTCGACAATTACAATTTATGACAGCTGAATGTTGGAAGAATCAATGAAATATTAAAAGAATATATTATGAATGGACCTTACCATTTTTATTTTTTATCATCATTATTTTAATAACTATTTCATTAAATTTTGCGACGTCAATATTTAATTTAGACTCATAAAAACTGACAACTAAATATCTGTAAATTTAAAAAGGAAATGGCAACTTCTGTGGTAGCCATAAATCAGGGACCAAACATTTAATTTCAGAGTCTGCAGAAAGAAAAGGTTCTCTCTTACTCTTGAAGAATGCAAAAGTTTGGGAATGCTGGTGTCAATTTAAGTAAAAGCAGAAGTCATAATTGTTTTTGTATTACCATCTCCTTTTAAAAACACAGGCAAAACATATGAATTTCTACAGACATTCCTACATAAGCAGAAAACAAAATACCCAATGCACTTGTGTGCAACTGAAACCTTCAATTTTGATTTGATAAAAACAGTTTTAATAAAAAGCAAACATTCAGACAAAGAATCATTGAAAGAGCCATTATTTATGAATCCCGTGATATACAACCAAGATATAACATTTTTTTCAGATTAATACTAAAACAATTAAATAAAAAGCCAGAGTAAGATCTGAACATGTGGCTCATGTTCAAAATACTAATGTTCTAACCATTCAGCCAGGCACCAATTTTCCAAAAGACTCCCATGAAGAAGTTCACCTAATATTTTGCTTCCTATCATCGATGAACAAATACAAACGATAATGGCATGATAAACCAAAAGTCTATCTTTGTAAATTTGTGGTTCAGAAAAAATCTTTTGGAGTAGAATAAAAGAAACAATATCATAAAGGATGAGCATTTTTTGAAACTGCAATTTGATAGCTCCATATTAACTGATGGAAATTGGAAATTTCTGCCACAGTTCAGGAGTTAATGACTCAACCATACAGACAAAAAAATGGAGATGAAATTATTTTAAATTCTGATTTAAGAAAATGTCTTGTGGCTTTCTACTTTTATACTTTCAATTGGTTAAGAATTATTCTACATTTGATAGCAAATGATGTTTCAGTAATTAAATCCAAAGATTTTTCTGACAAAAAAAAAAAAAAATTTTAATGTCAATGAGAATAAAAGTACTGCCTTACATATTTATTTTCTAAATTAAATTTTAAGATAAAGAAAGAAAAATGTTTTAAGGAAATAATTTTTACTGAAACCAAAGAAATGCAGATACTTACATTCTTGCTTGAATGTGAAATATTCTGTTAGATGCCGACATTCATGGTTTCCTCTGAGCAAAAAAAATGTGTTTGGATATAAGATCTTCAGGGCCCATAAATATAAAACACACTGAAAAGAAAAAAAAAAGTAACAATTAACAAAAAACACAAATAATTTACCAATTTCATGCTTGATAATTTTCATTCTCCACATTCAAGATTTCCTCAGAATCATTGCTGTTAATTGCTTTTCCGAAAATATAACCCAAAGGAGCTGAACAACTGGAGTTGTATCTTGTTTTCATTTACAGAGAAACCAGAAAGTGGTAAAAAGAAATTATAGGCCATAAAAAACTTAACTAAATGGTCTCAAATCAATGTTGAATCCTTAATTTAAAAAAACAAAAACAAACTTATTAAAGACTTGGCAGTTCAATTGATAAAATCCACTAAAAATAATTAGTACTAAAGTCGTTGTATCTGAATATTCAAATTGCATTTAATTGTATGTAATACGACCCAGTGTTTGTGAAGCTAAAAACAGGGAACAAATTACATCCTTGAATATAATACAATCCTGTATTAGAGCCATACCTATGAAAACTCATATCATAGAATCCATTATAATCTCAATTTTGTACATATATTTCACTAAAATATTTAATTTTTCATTATATTAAATGGAAATGAACTGGATGTTTGGCCATTGCATGTTTTTCCTCCTAATTTCCATTTAAAAACTTATTTTCAAACTTTTTGGGAAAAATTAAGATGTTAATTAATCTATCATACTTTTCTGTTTGATATGCCATTATTAGATTTCTATATATTAATAAAGTATGAAAATAAAAAATATGTCTTTCATTAAAAAGAAAGGGAGAAACAAATATGGCCGACATATCAAAAACCTTTTGTAAACAATTGTTATTAACACCTGCCCACCTTGTGTTACATTACACTGAGTATATTTGCAGTTTCAAATAAAAGGTTCTTTTAAGCAGAGTAAAAATTTCCAAAAACATGTACTTGTACATAATATGACCTCCATTTTTTCCCCTTAATTTTCGTTAAAAATTTTTTGTATTAGGCACAAGAAAACATGGTAACTCATAAGAAATGTGTGTGTGTGTGTGTGTGCCCTACTTAAAACTTCATCAATGGAGAAGGTTAAAAAAAAAAAAAAAAAAAAAAAAAAAGCTAAAATTCACAATAGACAAAAAGAAAGTATTCCCGATTCAAAATAACATTTCTAGTTCATTTATATTGAGTGAAAGACTTTTTTGTGGGTGGTGGGGGTAGCAGCCAATGTTAAAGCCATTTAATGCAACCAAAAATTGCCAAATTCCAAACAATATGGCAAAGCCACTGAACTTTAGGAGAAATAAGTATAACAATTTTCACAATTGTACAAAGATGAATTAAAAAAAAAAGAGCTTGAATTATGTAATAAAAACTTAGATATGTGTGGGGGCTGAAAAAGTTCTTAGCCTAACCAAAGATTAAAAAAAAAAAAAAAAAAAAAAATTGAAAGATTTTTGGAAGTGAACCAGGCTGAGAATTTTTCAGCAGTCTCCTCAGCAAGATAAACGTAAGCAACACCACATGATTTACAGATTGCAATACTAAAAACATTTATGACTAAGTTTGCCACCATACAGGAAAGATAAACCCAAAATCTAATAAGCTCTTTGATAAGATCCAAAGAAGAATCAGCAATATTATTGGTCCTGATCTGGTGGCTCAGCTCCACACACTTCTCCACCACCGTAAGGTTGCCTATGTCTTTTCTATAAATACTTTCATGGTAATTGTTTGGATGAGATCTTCACTATGGTACCTAGACTTCTTGAATTTAATCAGAGCACTACACTGGCATTGAGTTTTCATCAATTTATAGTCGAGCTGGATAGATGTAGGCGTAAATTCTATACTAACAGTTTCTTCTCTTGTAATTCTCACTCGTGGAAATCCCTTCTGGTTCCATGCATTCTAGCCAACTTTAATCTGCAAAAATTTAAATTTAATCGCTACCTACTGTCCACATGATTACTATCTTCTCTTTCTTTCTGCTCATCATTTAAAAAAAAAAAAAAAAAAAAAAAAGAAAAAAAAGGGCCAATTTCTATTCACTATTTTTTTTTTTTTTTTTAAAGTGATCCTCGCTCTGTATAAGTGTAACAGAGAGAGGTATACACAAACACACTCACATGAATGCACACACGGAAATATAACTTTTATTGACTGAAAGTGGAAATGGTGTTTATATATCAAAGTACAATTTGGGTTAAGAGGTGTGTTTACCGATGAGAAACACGATCTCAGGCAGGAGGTGATGTTTTAAATCTAGGTCAGTAGAAAAAAAAAAACAATGAAAAAATGATCTAAATAAAATTTATCGATTAAAAATTGAAATAGAGCTTACTCGGGCTATGAGACATTTGGTTTTGTTTAACAGTAATTGTTTTAATTAAAAGGTTGAATCAATGTTTAGATATCCCAAAATATAGTTTTGGGGAAGTGAGAAGAACTCGTGATGGAGATAAGATAAATAGTTGGAGAATCGTTTTACATGTCAAGGGATAGTTTTTGGCACTCATGATAATCGCGTGCTGGGCCAAGGGTCGATTCATGATCAAACAGATTTATCTATATAAACCAGTGTAGTTATGCTGAAGAAGAGGCCAGACGGTCGAGCGAGACGGAAGAGGCCAGACGGGAGAGACTGCAATCGGTTGTCATATTGCCGTCACGTGAGTGAGCACCCGCAGGCAACCATTACGGGTCATGGTGCTACAAAAAGACGGGAGAGAGACTCGAAGAACGAGACCATCATAAAGAGAGTCACGAGAGATTTGCGAGAGAATTAGAGAAGTAAGACGGCCGCCTGTTCTGAGAAGTCTGTATGAGACTGGACTACCAGTCATAAACCTACCCCAGGTGATTCAATACGCGTTTATCACACACAAACCCTCTCTCTGTTGGGAATTTGCTGGATGCATTGTGTCTTTTTTTTCTCATTTATGTTAAATGTTTTTATTCTTCCTGTAACCTCTGTTCTGATGTTATCTTTTTATATAAAAGACGTCAACATTTCCCCCATTGTTGTCTGGCTTCTGCAGATATTATTTCTTGTTTTATTTTGCCACATTCTAAACTTCCGAGCGCCAACTCTCACAGCTGTGTCCATATCCCCAGTCGACCGTGAATGTATGGACAACACCCTGCTTACTGGATCTAAAAACTAACACAGCGTGGGCAGCGAGCAGGACTTGACCAGTTGACCGGTGGAAATAATCTACGAGTACTTAGGGAGTGTACGGTCAGTTACTCCTAAGTTCAGTTCGGACCGAGTGGACACCTCAACCCAAAGAGGAAGATGCTGGGGACGAAAGTGGTAGATAAGGCCCAAGAGCCAATCGAGTTAGAGGGTTACAGAGCAAGAGGCACAATTTATGATGATGGAAAAATGGACAGAGTAGCAAGATACTTGTGACATTTTGTCTGAGAAGGGGGTTGTAGGGTGGGAAATAATTCATCACCCACAAGGACAGACAGACATTTTTGAACTCTATGGAGATTGGAAAGTGAAGATTTTTGGCTTGATTTGGCTGCTGCAAAGGTAGAGGATAGCAGGAGGAGTCAGGTACTTCCTTGAGTGGTACAGAGGCCCAACCATTTTCCCCCCACTATCTTTAGTGATAGATTGTATGTATGAGTTCCACTTTAGGTCTGGATTGAGCTTAAGTTCAAACTGGCACTCAAGGCCATCCTGAGAGAACACCTGTTCATTGCAAAATTCAATGTCCACTTGGAAATGATGGAACAAAACTGGTTTGGTTTTTGAGGTCTTGAACTTGACCAATAGTATTATTAAACAAACAAAATGATTGACAAATCTTCCAATATTTTGCAACACTAAGAGAAGAGCATGATTTGTATGGAGACATGCGTGAACGTAATTACAGAGATTTAAGTATAAGAAAAAAAAAAAAATCATTTTCAAAAGAATAGTCAGTTAGGGAAAGCAGTAGTTATAAACTTAAAGAGAAAAGAAAAAAGAGCAAAGTAATTAGTTTATTTGAAACCAGAAAATATTTATCAATAAAAGAGGAAAAGGCTACCTAGCACGGTTTTCTACTGGTGTTTTACCAACATCCACCTCACTTAAAAGGGCTATGAGAATTAGAGATAATCTAGGTTACAATCCATTTAAAAAAGACTAGATAAGAAAAGCAATATTTTATTGAAGCTGAAGGCCCAACAAGATCGACAACTTTAACAAGACAGTAGACTCTGAAATATAAAGTAGCATGCACCCCTCCTATTAAAGTATGCGTGTGTGTGTGGGGGGGGGTCGTATGCCCATGCACATCTGAAGAAATCTTATCTTATTAATTTGTATCTCAAAGTATCTTTTGGTACAATTCTAATGGAGCAGTGACCCCGACCGAGTCATGTTGGTGTACAAAATGTGTGATGATCTGGGGTGTTGGAAGACTTGAGTAAAGGAGTAGAGATATGAGATGGAGAAAAACATGGGGGAGTGTTTAGTTAGGTTGGGATCTGATGAGTAAAATTTGGCTTATAGATGTTAATTTGAGCTTATAGGGTACTTGGGAGGAAGGCATTGTTGATTTGTTTAATGGCATATCAACTCCTTATAGGTCATTTAATGCTGAAATTCAATTTTCTTGGGAGCTTTGAAGTAATAAAAATATATGTTATTCTGAATTCACAATTGAAAGCATGGTAGATGATACTCAGCTTTTCTGCATATACATGTTTGGAGGGACATGATTATAAGAGATGTGTCTTATGTTTTGATGAAGTTAAATTTTGGAATAGAGTTTAATTTAACAAACTGGAAATTGGATTAATGTCATGAAAGTGGTTCATGCTGGTTGATTGGTTGATTTTGTTGAGCGGCATATCAACATCTCTATGGGTTATTAAATGCCAAAATCTAAATATTTGGAACACAATTTTATGGCTTCAACTACAGATAAAATGAATTGCTGGTTATGCAGTGTTGGGCTTTTTTTATGTAAAAATGTGTTGCTGGTATTTTTACTATTAAATATCCTTTTATACTTTCATAGTGTTTTTTTTTTTTAATGGTGGGGGCACTATTTCCCCATGTAACAGATAATGGCTCAGAATTAGAAATTCTAGTGGTGAGTTCCAATTCCATTCAGGCTCATTATATTCACTTATGCACAAATACTTTTGGGAAAAGTTTGAGTCTAGCTCTTCTTCCCTCAGCTATGGATTAATTAATAGTAAATCATTATTATCTCCCTTGACCCAATTCATACAATATAAGAATACTTTCTGGCTTTAAATAACCTGCAAAAGGTTGATAAGCCATAAAAAACAGTTCTGTAGATTTTTAAACTTGGACCTGTAAGAGCTTACAAATTAAAGATTTTACTGAATTTGAAAATTTTCATTGGAGAAAATTTCAAGATTATTTATTCAATCTATATAACAAATGCAAATGCCTGTGTGTCAGTATATCACACTTTTTCAATTGAAGGGACAACTTTCAATAACTCATGTTACAGAAATTTTGGATTACCAAGTTTTCATTACTGCAGTTGTTTTTTGTAACAAATTTTTTTTACGGTAATTTTTATAACTTAGAAATAAATTTGGGAATAATCAAAATTATTTGTGAAATCCATTGACATTAATTGTTTGTACAGAAATTAAGGACCTATGCACATTAAATTCTTTAAATTAAGTGGTGTCGGAAAAATTATTTAAAAAAAGGTAAGCTTAAAAATTAATGCAATACTTAAAAGCAGTAAGCCTTGCAAAAAGAAATCTCCACCAGCAGAGGACCAGATTGCAATCAAAAGAGCCAAAGCTGCAGCAAGGGAAAGAAAGTCCTGTGCAAATGAAAACTCAGATCAAATGGCAGCTAGGAGAGCTTCCAGTAATGAGAATATGCAAAGACTAAGAGACTCAAACTTCTGAAAAAGCTGAAGGTCCAATCAAGAGCCCTCGACAGGACCTCACTTGATTGCATCATGATAGGGTGGCTTTTAATCTACTTAAGAATAAATTAAATTCATAATGGAAAAATATTTAATTCAAACATTATGCTGAAATTGTATAATGAATGGGAAATTGCATACAAGCTCAAAAATATTGTAATGTTTAATTTCAAGAATTAAAATTACTAAGTGCATCAAGACTAAGATGTAAGTAAAAATAATAAAATGGGAAGCTGGGTTAAAAACTTGCATCTCACACATGCACATTTACATTCCAAAATGAACCATATTGGATATTATTTTTGTCATACTGACACTGACCACCCATTGTTATGTTGGTAAATATATTCAACAAATGTGTTGAGTCATTTTTTTTTTTTTTTTATTCTGGCATTTTGTCATAGAACATCAGACAGAAGTTGCATATAAAGTTCCAATAGGTGTCCAACTGTGATAATATTTATAGTCAAAAGAATGGAAATCGAAAAATGGGTTGCCCATCTAGGAGGAAATTATTTTTTTTTTTTTTAAATTAGTTTATTATTTATTCCCCCTTTCCATTTAAAATACATTAAAAAAATAAAAATGAAGATTTTGTTACAAATTGTTTTAATTAGAAAAAAACATTTGGCTGGTTATTTTTGGAATGGAAAATTTTTTATTCAATACCAATTTCTTTAGACTAACATTCTCAACTCAGTTGTTATTGTCACAATGCTTTGTCTGTTGTGAGTTCAGTAACTATTTAGGATAACACAAGAAAAAAAAAAGGTCATATACTCTGATTCAAAATAAAGAAAGAAAAACAAATTAATAAGAAAGAATAGATGATATTCTCCAGCATGTACAGCAGAATGAGAACAAGCTGCACCCACAGATGAAATAAAAGATTCAGAAATTACCTGAAGGTGGCTGAAGAATACAATAACCAAAACTTGGTGGCTACAAGAACCAAGATAGAGACACTAGTCAAAGTAAATCTGTGTTGGCAAAAATGAGGTGATATTCTGCAAGTAACACCTCTTTCTAATTTTGTTATTATTTTCACATTATCAAAGTTTTGAAGCAAAAATCTATGTTTGGCAATATTTATCTTAGAGTAAAAATCAAAAGACTGCCTGACTTAATTAAATGATTTTCTCATACTTTGTCTGGGACAGTCACATGCAATTGTACATTTCTTGTATAAAATTACCATTAATTAAGACATTTCAAATACATAGAAAAGTAAGATCATTGTCATACAAAAATGTTTTGTTGGTAACAAAAATATGAAAACTCAACACCATATATTAGAATTTAAGTTGCAACAAGTCTAACAAACATTTCAGTGTGTGTGCGTATGTTCAGACTTAAAAAAATATCAACAAAGGTTTAATTTGTTAGGTGTTTTCGTTTTTTTAATCTAATTTTCTGATTGGATTTTACCTTTAGTTAAATTATTTAAAAATGTCAAATTTGTCTTTAAAACTCGGACATTAGCAACAATTTATAAAACCAAATAGATTCCCAACTTTTGAACAATTGCCAAATGAATTGCTAAATTTAAGCAATGTGCCTGCATAATTTTGTGTGTGGCTCAAATCTGATACAAACACTTTCAGGGAATTTTTTTTTTTTTTTTGAGTGGTATGTGTATTTCAAGGTAGCTTTAGTGCAGATTCAAAATGAGTGTTAAGGTGACTGGGGTGGAGGGGGAAGCCTCCAAATGTCCTGAACTCATCTACATTGTTGAAACAATCTACTGGAGTCAGTCAAAAGAATCTGTCAAAAGAATCTGTCAAGAGATCCCTACAGAAAGCCTAAAAATGAATTCTGGGTGCATTGCTGCAAAATGAGTGCCATTGGTACTGAGATGGCTGCATATGTTTCTATGGAAACAACTTTGAATGGGAAGGTGTCCAAATTTAGATAAGATACAAAAG